CCCCCCCCCCCCCCAAAATTTTTTGGGGGTCTGAAAATTTGGGAAAAGAAGCGCTCAAGTATGAGTAATCAATAGACAAAGTCTGAAGAAATTACAGAGGGGGGGAGGGCGAAAAAAGCCGTTTTTGCATCAAGCCCTTTACTTTTTCATTGCGGTTTTTTTTCCTCTGCTCGGCCTCAGCGTGTGATAGTCAAGATAACACAAAAAAAGTAAACAAAGTTCATAAGTACTGCACTCTATCGGACGAAATGATGCTGAAAAAAGGGGTCTACGGTGCAGGACGCGAAATCCGGAGACAATGCTGCTTGACGCAGAGACGGTCAATATTTTCACTTATTTGGATGAATAAAACTGAAAATAATAAGTTAGGTTCTAGTTGAGTGTGGATTTACAGCAGAAGTGGAAGTATTTAGATGCAAGATAATGCACCGAAAAAAAAATGAAGTTAATTTAACATTCTGGATGTAAAAAAAGTGTGCGAGAACTTACAAAATGCTAAAATACCTGCCACAGCAGTTACTTCAGCAATGCCAAGATGTAAAATTAAATGCTGTGGCGGGTAATTCAGCATTTACAAGTTCTCGCACACTTTTTTTACATTCAGAATGTTAATTTGACTTCCCTTTTTTTTTCGGTGTGGTTATGAAGCGTTGAAGTTGCGCACTTGAGTCGGAGACAGGCTACGGTACAGGACATTTCAGCTGTTTAGGGCCAAAATTCTGATATTAAATGGCAAAAACTGCCTAAAGCGATGTTACAACCTGATTTAGCGTAATATTTTGAACAAATTTAAAAATAAAAAAGGTCAGATTTTTCCATTCTGAAGGGCTAAAAAGTCGGGAGACATGGTAGAGCAAAACTTATTTGATTCTACTCACCCAACTCATTGAACACAGCAAACACATGGAACATAAACCAAAACACAAAACATATCAAGCAAATCAAACACGTTAAACACATCGAAAAGACCGAACACATCAAATAGGTACACCAAACATTTCGGGGGCTTCACACCAAACACACCACACACATCAAACACATCAAACTCATCGAACACATCAACCACACCAAACACTCCAAACACATCAAACTTGCCAGTCGATAGCGGCAAAAATCATAAAAATCGGTCCGGTAAAGAGCTGTAACTAAGCGTTATCAGAAACTAAAATGAAGGAAGCCTGAGAGTTTATTTAGTATAGAATATGATATGTCAATTTAAATCTGGTTTTAAATTATAGAATGTCGTCTTAAGTAAATAGAATGAAACATGAAGACCTATGATAATGTGTATGTTGGTATCATCCTTATACTCTGAATGAAAATCAACAAATTCACACACTAAACACATCAAACACACCACGGTCCCTTGGGTGCCAGGTAGGGCAGTCCCGAGAGGTTGGGGTTGGGCTCCTTGCTTGCCAGGAGGATTATTCCATGGAAAAAAAAAAGGAGGTGTTTGCATCTTGAGGTTTGTTTACCCTATGACGTAGGTCGGTACAACCTGGCCAGCGAAATCCGGAATTCGAAGTATGAAAAACGGACCATAATGTCCCATTTTTTGCTTAGGTAAATTAACTCATGATATAAGTTCAAGCACTTTTTAGAGGATGTCTTTTTTCCATAAATTACACCATTTCCAAGAAAATCTATGATAAACGTCGCTGTACCGACCTACGTCATCAAAAAAATTCCAAGATGCCCGGAATGCAAACACCTCCTTTTTTTTCTCTATGGGATTATTCCCCTTTTCTCAAAATTCCTACATTTAACCCGGTTAATATCAATATACACCCAGTTTTATCCCAGTTAATCCTGCTTTATATCGAACGACATATCGAAGATCGATAAACAACCTATACCGTAGTTTGACAGATACAACTGCATCCATCCCGTTTAATCTAAGTTCGACCTGATTCAGTTAGATTCATCTTTGCAGCAACAATGAATTTGATTTTAAATTGATTAAATTTCGAATAAATTAAATTTGTGGAAGTATGTGTCATTAACATAACAAATATGCACATACTTTCTCAAATTAAATCAAGCGAAAACATACCTACCTACATCACTAAATTTGGGAAATTATGCCATTACTGAAGGTAAGTTTTTAGCTAAATGGGCCTGTTGCACCAATTTTTTTTATTGCTTTAATCGAAAGATTTAAGGCTCCTGATGTCACAGGAATTTTCCCGGAGTTTTTTGATCGCCGGAAACCCCCAAAAAATCAACTTAAAAACGCCTCAGAATTTGGATTTTCAAAACGGTCGTTTCGGGTCCGCCATACTTGTGACGTGAAATGATATGACAGACCTGGTTTCTTCATCACTTACAATGTATTTTCCCTTTATGAAAAGGCAGCCGCTTTTCAAATGCAAATATCGAGTCAATCGATAATTTTTTGATCAAAATGGAAATCAGGAATGGATTCCTCGTACGTTTAAATGGTTAAAACCTTCATTAGATAAATAAGAACCGACGGGATAAACCCTATTTTTAAGGAAGACTGTAGTCAACGGGCGATTGTTTACATCTGCCAGTGATAACAAACATGGACATTAGCTCGATATTTGACCATTTTTATGAGTTTTTACTTTTTTGTCACTATTTGAAGGTAAGTTTATTTTGTAAATCAATTGTTTAGTGCCTTAGGATCATGTTAAAAGCTGTAAAGGTACACTTTGTTACTTATTAATTCAGATCACACTCCGGCAGTCCAACGCTCAAACCTGGATGTAGCGAGTCAGTTGTTACTTCTTACTATTTCACCCTTTAATGCTTCACTGAAGACACCAAAATGATAGTATCAATCATTGATGATGAAAAAAACTTACCTTTGACAATACTGATGAGATGAGGAGACCGGTATGTTTTAGCTGGAGGCAAGGAAAGTAGACGTAGGATCCTCCTTCGGTTACCTACCAGACTTTATCGATAAATTTTTCTGTATAGTGTTACATTTAAAATACACAGGATTTTAAAATAACATATAAGTTTATAAAACGTGGGAACGTTCTGAATGATATTGAGATGTTTGTTGAAGAGTTAAGAATGATTTACACGCATTGAGAGAACATCCATGGTTTGAGCGTTGGACTGCCGAGTGTGTTCTGAATTAATAAGTAACAAAGTATACCTTTACAGCTTTTAACATGATCCTAAGGCACTAAACAATTGATTTACAAAATAAACTTACCTTCAAATAGTGACAAAAAAGTAAAAATTCATGAAAATGGCCAAATATTGAGCTAATGTCCATGTCTGTTATCACTAAGCAGATGTAAACAATCGCCCATTGACTACAGTCTTCCTTTAAAATAGGGTTTATCCCGTCGGTTCTTTTTTATCTAATGAAGGTTTTAACCATTTAAACATACGAGGAATCCATTTCTGATTTCCATTTTGATCAAAAAATTATCGATTGACTCGATATTTGCATTTGAAAAGCGGCTGCCTTTTCATAAAGGGAAAATACATTGTAATTGATGAAGAAACCATGGCTGTCATATCATTTCACGTCACAAGCACAGAATACATATGGCTCCACCAATCACAAGTACGGCGGTTGAAAAACGACCGTTTTGAATGGGTCGGTTCCAAAAACAGCATTTTTTTAGTTTGAGAGGTCATATTTCAAGGTTTTTTAGTAGCGCCATCGTTCTTTTCGTGAAATTTGCCCCAAGAATTAGCCATCAATTTGCAAATCCC